CTCCAAAGTCGTGGGGACCGGGCTTTGGTCCCCACAAGGAGCATTTGTTCCCCACAAGGCTGCATTTTCCTAAAAAAAAATGTCCACACCAAGTAGCAAAAACAAGGGCACACACACACCTGTGTATGTGGAATCATACATGTGGCTTAAAATGAAAATACACACAATCTGGTACAGCTATTGTTAAGGGGACCTGGCATTGACTTCCATTATTTTCTACAGCCTAACCCTGACCACCAACCCTAACCCTATAATCTCACAGGTACCTACCATTCACACCTTAGTCCTAAACTTAACTCCCGACCCACCRACAGCAATTCCCCTCATGGGAACTAGACTCATGTCCCCATAAGTACCAGTCAGGTCCCCATAAGTAACATTAGGTCCCCACAAGTAGGTGYGTATGCCAAAAAATTGTCCCACAACGTAAGGAATACCAGTCCCTATAATACCTTGATATACTGTGAACACTGTTATTTCTTAATGATAACTAATATAAACAGAGAAGTTGATCCTTATTACACCTCATCTCTCTCCAGATTGCAGCAGCTGGAGCAGGAGGTCATAGGAGGAGAACAGGCCAGGAACTCAGAGTTACAGCAGAGACAACAGCAGAGGAAAAACTTAGCAGATCAAAGAAAAGCTCAGCTCATAAACGCTCTGTCAGAAGACACAGAGGAGAGTGAGAATGTGATGCTGGATGTCTACAATTCAATTCAGGACCAGGTTCATGTCAAAAACCAGATGCTGGTCAAAGTCCAGGGTAAGGTGCGTGGCTAATATATTCAGGGTAAATGTAAAACAAAAACTGAAGGGTTAATAAGTGTTTGAATTTGTATCTGAAATTAGCCTAGAGTGGCCCAAATCTTTAAAGTRCCTGTGACATTAAATTTTTGTAATAAATATGAATGTATTTTTGGAACGATAACACTGGTAACATAATGTAAAAAAAGATTTTGTGCCGCTGAGATGAACAGTTGTTGAGATATTTGCATGTGAAGTAACAGGAAGTGATGTCAAAGGGGAATGTCTGAATGTGAARAGACTGTTGCTAAAATGGCCGACAACACAGACAGTAGAGAAAAATCGGATGCTTCTTTAGATTATTTTAATCATTATCATAAAGATGAGAGAGTCATATGGTTCAAATTATATTGTTTAATTAAACAAAAACCAGGAAGTTTTCTTTCTCAAAGAGTTCCCCTTTGATGTCACTTCCTGTTTCACTGTAGCTGAGCCAAATCCTAAAGAACATGTGCCAGTTATGTGACATAACAAGTAAAAGCAGGTRTATTATGCCAGGTTTCTTAAACATAAATATATTTTCTTTGACTTTTTGTATTTCATGGACATGCATGTCACAGGCACTTTAAGACAAATTATAACGATCAACGCTATTGCATTTAAAATGTAACTAAACTCCAGGTTCAATAAATAACAAATTAGGAGGACTTTTAAACATAATAAACTAAAATGAAAACTGTGGCTTTTAAATCAGTTTTCATCTAAGATCACATTACGGTCCAACAGCTGAAAGCAGCCAGACTGGAGATCCGGGACCTGCAGGCAGAGTTCGAGGTGGAGAGGAACGACTATTTGGCAACCATTCGCCGTCTTGRGAGGGAGGGCCAGCTGCTGAACGGTCTGCTTCAGCGTATGGTGCCGTTGGTGCGCCGCGACTGCAACTACAGCAACCTGGACCGCCTGAAAAAAGAAGCTGTCTGGGATGAGGACAGCATCACCTGGAAGCTGCCTGATGTGACGATGCAAAAAACAACTCTGCCTTCAGGTGAGACATTTTGAAGGAGGAACGCAGAAAAAATATAGTATAGAATGAGCTTTTAATTAAATAAAAAATGTTTTTTATTTTTTGTAGCTGTACCTCCAAAGTCTTTAACTCGCAAAGATTCAGGTTTTGATGTTGCAGAGCAGTTTATGGTGTGTATAATTGTTTTATAGACCATTTCGTTTGAACTTGTATGCCTTTAAAGTCAGGCAGAGGCTAATCGTTGTGTCTTGTAACAGGTGGAAGAGGACCGGTACAAAGAGATGCTGGATCGAAGCGACAGCGAGAACATCGCCAGCAGCTACTTCAAGTCAAAGAGAGCCACTCAGCTGCTGGGTGTCGATGTCACCAAGGGACACGGTGAGACGCCGGTTTACACCGTTAGAACAAAAAACACAAACATAGTTATTATCTTTAGACAGAAAACGCTTTTACCCAATTAAAGTCTTAGTCCCCTCGAAAGTAAAATATTAGCTGCATCTGGTTTGACTCTTCGTCTCTTTCRTTGTTTGTCTCTTGGATTCTTCTCCATCGGCCCACATGGCAGCCCACCTCACTGTGAGCGGGTCCAACATGAGCCCCCCCATCAGATCAGACCTCGTCCTCCCTCGCCCTTTTCGCTTGGAGTCCCTGGACGTCCCGGTGTCCAATGGGAAGGYAAAGCGCAAAAAAAGCAAGTCTCATATTCCACAGTGAAGAGACTTTTAACAGACTTGCACACGACATGCTCCAAACCCATCTCTTCATGTTTCTGACTATATTTTCTTTTAAATGAAAGCTACTATTGTTAAAGGGGCAAAAAAAATATGTGTTTCCCATCCATATATTGAAATTCAATACCATAATAAAGGAACTATGYCACCTTTAGTTGTTATTAAAATGCTTTTTTTATGTTTAAATCAAAAATAAACTTGACTCCTCATCACATCTGTTTCTAAACACCTTGAAATTGGCCTCTGTCTCTTTAAGAAGCTCCTTCTGATCCCGTCACGCCCGTTTCAGCACGTCATCACAGCCGCTTCTCTGCTGTTTACAACCTGGAGCGTCGTAGCATGCTTTGTTGTAATGATAATTAAAAAAGCAGCAACATTATRCGAGATCGGTTTTGGAAAATTGCATCTCGGGATMCRTGTGAACCTTACTGTCGGACCGGAAAGTACGTTTTCTAAAGAAACCGTACRGGTGATGCGGAAGCTCAGGGGAGCTCAGCAGACATGGTTTTCACCAGGAGGTTTGCTAGTTGTTGCTTTTTGATGAGAGGATAACATCATAACATGATATAAAGCTCAAAAAAAGTTGATTTTATATGATATTGCCCCTTTAAATTTGAACAAATATTAATTCATGTTAACTTTTTGTAGACATCGTTATCAGTTTGYATCTTATAAATATTAATATTCAGGTACATTTTGCCTACAGCAATGCTGTTCTGAAATTCTTACAGTGTAATCAAACGGTGACGTGCAGAATGAGTGTAAAATATAATAATGCCTCTTTTTTTTACAGTTTTAATTATTATCTTTGTTGCTATGGCTAATTAAATGTACTTCATACAGAGGCATTACAGCTTTATTAGAAAGTAGTAAAAACAGAGGTGGTAAAAAGATCTCATCCAGCATGTTAGGCCGCTTTGTAATGTTTTAGTAAATGTGTGACTCTGCTGTAACAAACGGGTCGGGTTTTCCCGGCAGCAGAACTGACAGGTCTTATGTTACACAGGAAGTCATGCAGAGCGCTGTGGGCTCTGAGGTGACCCTGGAGCCAAAYTAATCATTAAACTTGATCTGGGTTTAATATATTGTTTTTTTTTGTATCAGTTATTTTAATATGTTGTCAGTTCTGTATAAGAGGTACATTTATTTATTTTTTTATACACAAACTGCAACCGCTCAAAAAAAATCCACTCTTTTCTTAAATAGATAACYTGGAAATGTTCTGTAATTCACACCTCTGCATGTTGATTATATTTCCCATTTTAGCAAATATGTCTCCTCGTCCATTGTTTCATATTATATGAGTAGTGTCCGTTTCTAAATGTGACACCTTGTTGTGTTCAGAGCTACCCAGAGACGGACTGAACATCCTGGACGCCACAAGGAGGTGGTGCTCAATAATCAGACAACAGCAGAGCAGCTGTCATCAGCTGAGTGCTGTAAGATGAGGAGTACGGTTCATATTTATTCTGTAACGGTAGAGTCCGACGAAGCACTCCCGTTTCAAAATGACCAGGGACAAACGATCTGCAGGTGGCTGCTTTAAATAAAAAAGCTCACACATCAGACATTAAACATGACAAAGACTCAGAAAGAAGACTAATGGTCGCAGTAATATCCCACAATAACAGAAACACAAAACATGTAAAGTTAAAGATTTCATTAAACAAATCATTTTGTCCAGAATTTTTATTTATAATGAAAATGATGAAGGTGGTAAAAAGGGTTTAATAATCATCTTTGTTTTTTAGCCAATAATCACAGCTCCAGCACCTACAACCAACAAACTATATTCACATTTAAAGACCAGATCACTCAAGTACGCAGTAAAATACATTCACGGTGACTAGAAAAGGTAGTCGTATTTGTGATAACTTTATCGGTTTATAAAACACAGTAACAACGAAAGCTTTGTTTCAAAGTTTTACTCAGCAGCTCTTTTTTCAGGCACGTCTGTGAAAACAGGAGGAATGATACGCTTAGTTTAGCTCAGTTTTGTGCCTTTTCAGATATTATATTTAACTGAGATTTATTACAATCGYAGTTAAAGAGTAGTTATATGAGCCATTACACAGACAAACTCATAAACAGTGTATTTCTGTGGAATTTAAAATGTGCAAGGCACATTTTCAGTGAGCGCCTTCAATTTAAATAAGATTTTCCTTAAATTTGTGAGTATATTGTATATTTGCTCTAAAAATATTCATATTTTTCATAGTTTTCTCTGGAGATTTACCAAAATATCAAATTACAATTTACTATTCCAACTTTTTTAGGCTTAAGGTGATTTTTCAGGTCTTTGCATTTAGGCCAGACTACTGCTGATCACCAGGTTTAGTTCTTGAGCAGGCCAAGCTTCCTGAGAGCTTCCTTTCGATCAGATCCCATCCCAGGCACCACCATCACAGTGTACCCCACCAGATCTGAGGGTTTGTCAGAGGAAGGTTGAGCTGTGGTGGTTTTTCTTGGTTTGGCTGCCGGTTCACTGTTGGTGTGATAGTCTTGGCTAGCAGAGTGATCCAGACCTGAACCCTTCAACCTACTGGACTCAGGTGGATGATGTGATACAGACTCCTGGTTATTTCTGCAGGAGTGATGCGGATCAACACTTTGCAGATTCCTGTTCTTGTGTTCTGCGAGTGCTTGAGAGGAAGTCAACGAAAAGTTCCTCGTTGGATTACAGGTGGATGAACCGCTCGCGAATCTGTCATCCTTTTGATGCAAAGAAGAGTACGGTTTAGGAGGAGATGGCGGCGCTTTTTTCCCACTCTGGGGCTCCTGGTCTTTCAGGAGGCCAAGTTTCTGCAAGGCTTCCTGTCTCACCACCTGTGGATTTGTTGCGTGATTGACACTGTCTGAAACGTCTTGCGGTACGCCTCCATCATTCTGGAGTTTCATGGCTATGTCAACAGGAATCTTTTTAGGTTTTGGAGCCACAGCTGGGGGTCCTGTCTTAGACTTGCGGTCCTCTAAGTGGAATCTGACAGACTTTGAGAGATTTCCAATGTTTGGGCCCTCCACTGGGGCAGAGCAATGTTTGTTCAAGTCTATAGTGTGATCGATTGTGGGGCATAAAGGGGTCTTCTTTTTGGAGGCATTCCTCCGCAAATGAACCAGTGCATCGTAAGACAGAGGTCCTCTCAGAGGTAAAGAGCTTTCAGCCGTCTTGACTATGTGGTCTCTAGGTTTTGTGGAAGGAGGAAGGACAACGTTGACCTCTAAAGGTACCGGAGGAGCACTAGGTTTCTGGTTGGKTTCTTGAGCAGGTTTGGTCACTTTCGGCGTGAACTTAGACTTAAACTGAACAGTTTTCTCTGTAAGACCGAATGGTTTACCGCTGGGAACTGAACACACGGAATGATTTGCCACAACAAATGGCGTAGGAACAAGGTAGCTCTGTATGTGTGTGATGTCAGCATTTTTCCTGATGTGTTCCTTGGGAGCGGATTTCTCTGAACCTGAAAGACAAAATAGTGTTCTTTTTTTTGTCCGGTGTTTTCAATAAATATTGTTTTACCAATTCTACATCTGTTCTCGGACAATAAACGTACCATTGAGGTCGTTTTTGCTCATGGAGGCTGACAGGTCTGCAAGTTTAGTCGCAARGTTGCCAGGGTTGGGCAGTTGGTCCGGTTCATCAGTGGAAACTCCACTGTCCTCCTCAGTATCCAAGGACTCAATAGTTTCCTCCAAGAACAGAAGACAGGCYTTTTCTTCAGCAGAAAGGTGCTTTAGACTGTCATCACTCTGAAATACAAACATTTATTTTAAATTAAAACCTTTTAGACCAATGGGCACCAATCAACCCAAAGCATCCCCTCAGCTTTGACCTTCCAGGTCTCTGTTTTGTCTTGATATTTAAAGTTACAAGATTACTAACACTGCAGACTGTTAGATTTAAACAGGTAAATTCAGTTACTTACAAAGCCTGAAGTGGCACTAACAACACTGTCACAGCTGYCAGCGCTGTACATGCCGGCCATCGTCTCTAGTCTCGTTTGGCCAGGTACCATTTCTGGGCATCTTAGTGCCCTACTTATCCAGAGTTAGRGGCACAGGCTGTTGTTTCACTCTATGAAAGAAGAATAAACGCAGCGTTAGATTACATTAACTGACCTTGTTCACCCATTGCAAAGGGAAACAGATCTGTGAAAAGTCTTTGATTTACTCTCCGTATACTGACCTACACAGTTATGAAAAAAGTGCTTCCATTGTTGGCCAACATTAGCTTTTATTTTAGCTTGTGGCATCATTTTGCTGCAATTTGTTTAATTATAACTGTCAAGAATTGCATAAGAAATAGTTTAAAATGCTATAATAAGAAAAGGTTATTGCACTATATTAAATCTGTTCACAGAGGAGTTTTCAGTGAAGTGCACATTCATGTTATTTTATATGAGCAGCACAGCAATCTTAGTCACATTCTGCTGACTGTCAGAACTGAAAACCATGTGTTCGCCATGAACTGTCCTGTTAACGTCACAGAAAAATACAAATAAAAACAGCTCRAACATAATAAAGTAAAATTATGACATGATGTGAAGTTAGCTCAATGTTATTTAACATTTTTAACCTTGTAATAAAAAAAGTTTCATATTGTAGCTGTTATGGTTGCAACTACATTGATCAAGAATTACAAATATGTCRCAGATTTATTCTAATTATATACTTTCAACAAGGATTGGTTTTTTTGTGGCATTGTGGTGTCACATGTGCAGGAAGTTTAAAGTAATGCCTATAAAATGATGAGTTTTCAACAATTATAACCCCTCACTGGCTAAGACAGTCAGGCTTTCATAGCTTGGTGTGTTTGACAGCTACTCGTGTCGTCCCCTCGTCATGTGACGTGGATTACAGCACACATGGTTCCCCTAATCTTCCTTTAAAGGATCAGATTCAGAGGAAGTGCAGGTAAGCAGCAATAGTCTCCTGAAAGCTGCACAACACCCAGCTTACCCAAACCCTTACCTCCTTTATCCTTCAGTTACTTGATCAGGTAAAAATACCCTAAAGCAGTGGTGTGAGCATCTTTATATTTTCTAGACTAAAAGATATGTTTCACTAATATTGTTTTTTGAGCTGGATTTTTTTTTGTGTGTGTCTGTGTGTAAAAGACCCACTGTCTCATCCTGGTGAAAAGAAATTCACCTTGGGATAAATTTCAACACCTGAGACGTGAGGAGTACTGGTTCAGCCGAAGCACAAAAGCACGCTTGTTCACTGGACATCGTTTTCCCACGAAACCCCACTGCTGTAAAACTTTAGAGCGCTATATCACCACACCACTGTGTAATCATCCCCATCTGTCCTGCTCCAAAAAGGTCAAAGTTTAATTTTATTACACTGAGAACTTGATATAAATCTTTTTATGACTCAACTAACCCACATAGCTGGAAACACCTCCTYAATCATACAGTTTTTACAAACCACATTACCTAGATTTAACTACTATCATGTGGTAAAATAAAATTCAAAACTTTATCTTCATATACTTTTATCAACACAGTAGCCAAAGCTGCAAAAACATGAGTTTATTGCTACAAGACTGCATATTTTTAAGCAATAAACTTAACTGCTATGGGAAACTAACATAATGGCTTTATTATTATTAATTGTAGCTGTAAAACAGGAACTATCCAAGCTTTTCTTATCAGTGCGTATTGTTTGACAGGAATAATGTATGAACTACCATATAATATACCTTTTATCAAAATAATTGTAAACAATGCTTTAATCATCTGCCTTCAAATTATTCAAAGACGTAGTTTTTGTCCTTTTTTAAAAAAGKATGGTGATTTTAGTTGAAATACAATATTTAACTGTTTATCTTTGTCTATAGTCTACAAAAAGATGATTTACTACCACTGTAATTACACTAAAGTTAGCAAGTTTAAACCCTGATAACTACTAATTTGGCTATTATTTTATAAAGAAAAAATGGTCTAAAATGATATAAACAAGTAAAAATAGTAAATTTCATGTAAAGTTGTTTTTATATTAAACAAAGTTGAAGTTAACCAGTGAAAACTAAAAGCCTCACATACCTGTGTAAATCTCCATGGTCTTCACTCATCCTCATGTCCGTGTGTGACTGAAAGCCAGGTGGGAGCGAGGCTCCGTGACACCTGCGTGGACTTTGTGCGCTAAGCTTTCAGCCAATCAGGCCGCGGCTTTCTCCTTGGAGACACGCGAACGACTCTTCCTTCTGCAAACAGGGGTGATCAGGGTTTTCTTTTATTGTCTCAGGAGCAGCATGCTGCCTTCACGAGTGTTCTACCTTAGCGAGCATTATTTTCCTTGCTTACTTTTACTTTCTGAAGGTGATGGAGGTGTTTTAAGGAAAACAGTAGCATCTACATGTCTTTAAAATGCAGATGCTGTATAAATAAAAAAGAAAAACCAGCAAAAGGAAACAAATCTGATGTGTTGACCTTTTTTTGTCAACCTTCAGCAGGTTTTCCATTGCTAGTGTTTTATTTCTCAAATGTAGGTATAAATCCTACATTGGAGTTATAGCACCTGGTATTCCCAAGTCTCCCATCCAACCAAGCCTGACCCTGCTGGCATGTTTAGGGAGGTATGGCCACAATATTAACCTCATGAGGTTAAAATGACCAGAGATGTAAAGTACCTAAGTACAAATGCTTCTTTACTGTACTTAAGTAGAATTTTTGGGTATCTGTACTTTATTTGAGTAATTACTTTTCAGCCTACTTTTTACTTCTACTTCTTACATTTTCACACAATTATCTGTACTTTCTACTTTTCTACTCCTTACATTAAAAAAAGGCAAGTAGAAAGTCATTACTTTTATTTCATTTTTGCTTGTTTTCATTCCAGCTTATTGGAAAAAATTAATACTATCCATATAAATTGTGCCTCCTAGATAATTGTGGTTAAATGAGAAGTGTGTGTGTGTGTGTGTGTGTGTGTGTGTGTG